GACGAGATTAAACCATTCTTCAATGATTTTCGGGTCTTCACACTTCGCGCGCTCGTAATTATAGCCTTTTGAGAATCGGGAGGAGAGGATTGGATGCCTTTTTACGAATTTTGTAACCCAATCCTTACCGACTAAAGGAGAGGGGGTAGATCCACGCGCCGCGAGTAGTAAATCCGCCATTTCTCGTACGGTAGAAGGCCGAGGGGCTGCTCCGCGAGAGTCCATAGAGAGAATCCATTTTTGAAGCGATTCCTCCTCAATTTCGGTCAATTTATGTGAATTTGCGCGAGTTTCAGCGCGAAATGGACAGCCGGTAACGCGTCGCTGTAGTGTTGTACGGGGTACGTTAAACTGACGCGCTGCATCACGAATTGATAGGATTTCTTGCTTCTTAATAGCCTGGATAGCTAATAAGATCCTACCCTCTTGCTCCGTACGATTTTGAGAGGATTGAGTACGAATTGGTGGCATAGTGGGTGGTTGAAGAAGGAAGGTCTAATTAATTGACGCGTTTTACGTTAGGTGGCCCACTCGGTAGGGGTGGCCCACTCGGTAGGGAAATACGTTAGGGGTTATATCTTATATAATATATCATATTATATAAGCGACGGTGAGGTAAGGTGATAGTCACGATAGTTATCGACGGTGAGGTGTGATAATTAGGTAAGGTAATTGATAGTATTACTTGATAGTCAAGAAAAATAAAAGTAGATGATGGTTATTATTTCTTAGGACCCTTCCTCGAGGTCCTATATATAGCTAAATAGCTTACCTAATAGAACGATGTGGAATCGTGAGGTTCTATAAGGTATTTCAAATCATAGGTCATAGGATCACTAGTGTAATGATCATAGATCATAAGATCACTAGGATCATTGAAGGCTATAAGGTTTAAACCATTAATAGACCTTCTAAGAATAAGCATAGCTAATAACCTTTTATATTATAAGCTCTTCGGATCTAAGCCTTAGATAAGATATAGCTTAGATATACGCTTATACTAACAATGACTAACCCTATAGGATGAACTAAATTATTAAAGAGATTAAGCGGCGAAACTTATTTCGAGCGCGTTATATATGTACCTAGACGGGGAATATATATATGTGGAGCTAAGTGTTCAGTGCGTAATCATTGGCGCTATCTTCTAAGTAGTAACGTGCAAATTCTTTAACCCGAAATGCTATATAACTCTCTAAATTTAGTCTATACTGCGACTATGCCACTGCAGTACTATAAACAAAAAGTTTTCTCTATTGGTTAAAGGCTCAACCTTTTAGGGCATTGTTTTTCGTCTAGTAGATACTATAGGATAGATCAACACTAACTCCTTTTACGTTCTATTCCTTTCTTTGCTAGTGGGTTCTGTCGGTACGGCATAGGCCGTAGACGTCGCATCCATTCCTATCGGGTTTCCTCCGTGGCAATAGCTTTCTCGTGTTCTAGCATATACTTAGAAATATCATCATACGCACCAAACGCGGTAAGAGACGTCCACTAGGTCTCTAGTTTTAAGTATCTCTACTAAAGCCGCAGTCGAATCGTAGGCTGGTCTCGCTACAATATTGATTTAGCCGGGCTGTTAACACCCTTAGGCTTCCGCGACGGGCGCGTGTTAGGGCGGCTACCAAGTAAGGGCATAGCGTCGAGTTCCTCTCCCCCGCGGCGCGTTAGCTGACGAGAGATAGCGGGCATTATTTTGGACAATGCGAGAGATGATGTTTCGACTAGGGCTCCCGATGCTATTTATCGTCGCCATGACCTTACGTACAACACCATAAATTATTCCTTGTCACATTCAACGCATGTCCTTAATCTGTCGTTCCTCACTTAAAAGCTCGCAAGAGGATGAAGATTGTAGTCGGCGGCACGGCCCATACATAGGCGGCGTAAGAAAGTTGATTGTACGCTCTTTCGAGTTCGCTCGCCGTCCCATAGCGTAGTATGGTTAGATGGTAGATTGCATCTTAGGAGCTAGGATTTTTTTTTCCGTTTCTTCCCCTTTAGGCTGTCTAATTGACAGTCAATAAAGGGCCTAATACCCACTCTGAAACCGGGTGCAATTGTCTGACGATTGGAAATATAACATGGTGCAAAGACACAACGACCGAGAGACATGACAAATGGTTAGTCCATGTATAGGACGGGCGAAAATAGGACTTGAACGGTTGATAAGTCGCTTTTAAATTGAGGGGAAGTGTTCTTTGGGTCCAAACGATCAGAAGCTGGAGGGCCACTGGGCCTCACATCTCTGGGCTAGAACGCTCGTGGCCATCATTGACTGACTATCTATCTATAAAAATCCTAGGCAATTCCCAACAATTCGGATATCCAGGGTCCGACCTAAACCTGTCCGACTCCTCTACATGCTCTGCTCTGATTGACCTACCGGCAAGTGATTCTGCTTGCGAGAGCGAAGACTATGTGCCGAGCGAGGCGAACGCAAATTGAAGCTAATCGAAACATACAAGGATGCTCGGAATTTACAGCGTCAGATGAGTGTCACATTCACTATCTGTCCCAGGTATGTGCAAAGCTGGGATTCTTCTGCTGCATTTCGGGAGCTGTACAGGGAGGGTCGAAATCAGTTTCATCGCCGAAACAGAGATTCTTTCTCGAACCCTCCCCCAAAACGCGCTATACCTATTACGGTTACTCTATCCCAGAACCCCTTTCTTGGCAGTAATCCAGTACAATTGTACATAACTGGAAGACGCGCGCGTTGCGCGCATCGGCCCTGAAACGAAAGCCAGGAAAGGTAGGAAGAAAAATTGAAAAGATTTGTAGTTTGCCGTCGATAATCGACCGCCAGGACGCAGCTTCACGGTCAACTCTACCTCTACCGGGTGGGACTTGGCAACATCGTTTGCGTTGGTAAGAGTGAGATCCTTGAGAATCTCGGGGTAATATTGGCACAGAACGAGACTGATCTTGTTCTCGACCGAGAACATTGGAGCAGAACCGCGTAGAAGTACAGCATAGCATCCTACGCACAGGTTCTAGAAGCCGTCAATATAGCCGCAGCGATTGAGTAATCCTTCTATTAGCCCTATTATAGGATCCTCCTCGAAGAACTCGACGTATGTTAGTACTGGGAACAAGCATGCCGCACGAGAAACAAGCAACGTCTCGACTTACAACCGTCATTCCCTTCTCAAATTCAGCTATAGACAGGCGAATATATGAAGTGGATATGTCTGAGGGGAACAAGCTCGAAGCAACCACGCGAGACTTATGTCTGTTGAACCCTGGATCACCAAAATGTGCCGAAGTTTGATTTACTAGAAATTGAGGATGATGTACAATCAGGTGGATGTCAAAATTAATAGTCAATTCGTGTCAGAGGATATGGAACAGGATATAGCCGACCCTAAGTGCTTACTGGCCTTTGATCCTTAGGGGGAACCTGCATAAGGTAATGGAGGAGAATGTTGCTCACAAACGAAGGGTCAGGTCGGACGACACGTGTATTATTTTGTAAGCAATGATCCTAAGTAATAGGTCCTTAAAAGCAGTTTTATGGCCTCAATATTGACTGCGTGGGGGAAGTTTTATGCTGGCGGTATCTTTAACTATATAGAGGTTAACCACTCCCCTAGGAGCGCAATAGGCAGGAACGAGAAAAGAGGAAGGTCATCTATTACCAAAAGGATGCTCAATGAGCGGGATGGACAACTTGACGCCAAACAATACATAACTAGGCAACAATCGATCTAGCAGGCTGTCTATAAATTGATGCGTTGTCCTTCGCTATCTTGTTATCTCGGTCCGTACTGCTGCAACACCCACATAGGAAACACCATTATCAGCTACGGGCATATCATTTGATCGCCTGATCGCTTATGGTAAAGTGGATGGCATTCTGGAGTTTCAAGCCGATATCCCCGACCCTGTTCGTAAACAACTCTTTCCAGAAGAATAGCAACAAAATGCTCGCCTATCAATATCAACTTCATAGGAGGCCAATCTCACCTGGAATCACTGGCGGTCAACTTAGGTTATCTAAGAATGGTCATTATTTAAGCTAAACCTATGTATTTCTGACGAGGGCAAGGAGTAGGGAGTATATATACCAAAACTAGTGGCTGCTAGATTTATGGTACTGGCTGCTGTGTATAGATGATTGAGGTTCAGTTCATCAAACTGTAGGAAATTAGGGGGACGAATAGGAAGTTTCGTTCGCACTGCCCGGTGACCGGATCCTACACCTTGACTGCTTTATTTGACGTTAATACGAGTCAACTTCTTTCCTGCGACCAGGCAATCGAGTTGACCCGCTGAATATGCGCCTTGATGACTGCTCCGTGAAATTGATAGAGGAGGTACGCTATAGGTGTCCGGACTGGCTCTGCCTAGTTTGGGGGGAAACTGGGTTGCTAAGTAAGGCCGCATGCTTCATGCGGGACAGGAGGGCTTCGGACCAATTGAGCCTAGTTGCCAGAGGTGATTATTTAGATCTGTGGTAAGATTGAAGTACTTACGGAAGATGGGGTAGCACTTCTCGTAACAGTACCAAATAAACTCAGTTACAATTTACGCTCTCCATGTTACCCGAGCCGAATGTAGTGCATTTTGATAGTGAATGGCAGTAAATACATGCCATTACCTTTGAATATAACATAACAAAATGGGATAGAAAGGGAACTAGTATGAGGGGCCAAAATGGCGTGGTACAATCCGTCAAACAGATAGTAAAACTAATAAAGTAAGGGCGTTCCTAAAAGGACCCCCATTCTAGCCATTCGGACCCTATCTACGCTCACTAAGCCTAATTAGGCTAGCGACTGTAATTGTATTTCCAATGCATTAATCCGTAAAATTCATCAATTTCTTGGCGATGCTAATGCCCTGAGAATCAGCGGTCATGGATCCGTGGTACTTCTATTTACTATGCGTCCCCTTAGTAAAATTAAGTCACTACTATCTCTTACTAACGAGAACCCCGAATTAATTATGCTGTGATTAGGGCGTCGCCAGGCGCCATGTCTTCGGCTTCCTACATCTCGCCAATTTCAACACACCACAACATCACCAATATACGCGCTGCTAATTTCTACAATTATTTGATCGCTCAAAAATGGCTAATCAGGAAGGGTCGGAGAGTGCTGTGAATAGTCTCAGGAAGCATTGGACATCTTCCCAATTTGTAAATTCGTTAAATTGACTCCATTTTCTACTTATCATGCCATTTTTTTTTACAAAATTTGACGCAGAATAGCTGGATTCCTTCAAATCCGCGGAGTTTTGAAATCAGCATCTATTTCCTATTTAGGACTAGTGCCTTGCTAGGATCTTGGGGCCAGGAAGTCTGCTACTCGTTAGTAAGAGATAGTAGTGACTTAATTTTACTAAGGGGACGCATAGTAAATAGAAGTACCACGGATCCATGACCGCTGATTCTCAGGGCATTAGCATCGCCAAGAAATTGATGAATTTTACGGATTAATGCATTGGAAATACAATTACAGTCGCTAGCCTAATTAGGCTTAGTGAGCGTAGATAGGGTCCGAATGGCTAGAATGGGGGTCCTTTTAGGATTGCCCTAAAGTAAAACCCCTACCTACAAAGTTCAGGTCTGTTCTCGCCTTTCTAACTCCAAGAGGGACTGGGCAGCGTCTAACACTGAATTCTGGAGTGTACGGTATTTGATCCCGAGGAGCTGTTTGGACTTCGAATTATCAACACCGTAGACCTCAACGTTACCCAAACCAGACTGAGGCATCCCGATAGGCACACGCTCTCTGACTTCGGGCAATCTCTCTCGAAGGATATCTGCTATCATTTGGTAGCTAAAATTTCCTTCAGCCACAAAAAATCGTTGTCCTCCTGCTTCTGGAAGCTCATACGCTTTCAAATGGGCATCGGCCACATCGCGCACATCAACCCAAGCCCAAAAATCATTCGCTGGCATAGGGTCACTTGGCTTTGATGTCGGTGACATGAGTCGGTAGATATCAGCAGAGGATGTATTTAGATGTGCCAAATCTGTCGTTGCGTTTTTGTTTGGACCGTAAACCATAGGAGGGCAGATTGTCGTCAGGTCCCACGAAGGGCATTCTCTTTTTACAAAGTCCCAAGCCTCACGTTCGGCGAGAGCTTTTGCTGCACAATATGCTTCCGCGCCAGAAGTCCCCTTTTTGGCAGCCTCTTGGTAACTCATTGGATTCCAGTCCTTTTCGCTGTATACATAATCTGGTCTATTCCCTTTGGACAGATCAATTATGGACGCAAATGATGATATGAGAACCAATCGTCGTAAATTAGGTACATTTTCGTTGATCGACCGAAGAATGTTCTTAGTGCCCTCAATTGCAGGTATGAGAAGGTCGCGCTCGTTGTTTTCGACTTGCATCTGGAATGGCGTAGCTGTATGAATAATACCCGTAACGTCCTTCACTGCTTCGTCGAAAGCATTGAATGAACTTATATCCCGCACAATCGTAAAGGTCAACCTTCCGTCCCGGACGTATTCCGGAAAAGCCTGGCTGACTTTCTCAGCTTTGTCATAAGATCGTACCGTGCCACGAATGAGGAAACCGGACCGAAGGAAAACGTCAATGATGTGGGTTGCAACGAAGCCTGAGGCACCGGTTACTAGGATCAATTGGTCCAACATTGCTGGCGGATATGGAAATCTGGAGTTGGGTAGAATAGCTTGAGGAAGTCACATAGGAGAATCGACCCTTTATACCTAGATGTAGTATGTCCTTACATAATGGCCTGATATCATCACTTACCATGTGGCATCTAAACTTTTCGGTTAGGCCTTAAAACCAATGAAAAACTAACATCATGACCGTTAGACATTTGGGCTATCAATCATAATGACGCTGACCTATTTCCCGACGGAAACATTTGTTTTATTATACTAGCTTAACAGTCTGATAGTCCAACGTCGAGCCTGAATTGTTAACGATACAACGACCCTATCCCACTACTCTCATATATAAACATACTATATTGACAAAAAGTAAAGAGTAGAATCGTTTGGGTTGACGATTTATGGTTGGAGGTCTCAGACCCGGAAATGAGATCATTTCACCCGTTGCGGATAACCGTATTTCACTACCGAGCTGGACACCCCAAAACACCATAGTAAATGTGATAAATTACAACTTGATATCTCAGCAACCACGTTGTTGTTTGATTCCTTTGTCATTCGATAGCTATCGATAAGAATTTTAAATACTATATATCGATTTTAAGAAAGTCGAAAAGCTGCATTATCATGGTATTGAAAATTACGTTGCTTAAAGCCAAAAATATTTATGTCTCAAATCACAAAGTCATATATATTTCCTAAAGTCCTTGAAGAGGCTAGATATCACCTAGAAAGTACTAAGCTATTAGGAAATTTCTATATAGAACACCTTTGTTGAGATATCAAGTTGTAATTTATCGCATTTACTATGGTGTTTTGGGGTGTCCAGCTCGGTGGTGTCCAGCTCGGTAGTGGAATACGTTAGTGTACCGGTAGAATGACTGACTTACAACGCCCCACAGGTGGACCTTGATGTTAAATTGCAATCAAAAAGAGAAAAGAGCAAAGAAAGAAAATATGACATGCTACAATCGAGACTTTTGTTTCAACTATAAGTATCCCTTAAAAAGGAAGGACACCAGATTCAGAGTTTTTATCGATACTAGCTCAAGATAACACCCAGTTACCTCTTTCTCACGTTGTTTAATATCACCTTCGCCAAATCTTAGCGCTTTCAGGGTTCTGACCAGTCAGCAATCTGCCATCCATCGCCACGACCACATGCGAAGCCCAATTAGCGGATGCCTTCTCATCTTTGCCTCCTGATATCTTGTTCAGCTCGGTTTCAAGCATGAAGGGCATGTACCCTGAAGAATTCGTTCCATCCTCTTCTGAGTTAGCGAGGCCAGTGACCGGGGTGTTGGCTAAGAGGAATGAGGAATTTGACAGCTTTACGTTGAGTAAGGCTGCGGTACCATGGCAGACGGTGGACACGATCTTGCCCGACTCCCAGAATTCCCGGATCAAGGCGATAGAGTGGCTATCAGTAGCAAGATCGAACATTGCTGTATTGTGGTCAGTCACGGCTTAGAGCTCTAAAAGCGCAAAACGTACGCCCGTCCTCCCGGGTAGAAGATCGCATCGAATTCCTTTGCACGCCCAAGGAAGGTCGAAATTCACTCGGTATTCTCCCAGAGGGCAGAGTTTGTCTGTAGAAACTCGGTACACTGCGGATCATTTTTGTAGGCCTCTGCGGAGCCGGGATTTCAAGGTGCATAACCACCTTTAGGAGACGCGATAGTTAAGTTGGCGTGAGGTGAGAGCACATAGTATGGATGAGCAAATTCAGGCCTTGATTCGTTAGAATAGAGAGGGTTTACTAGACAAGATGTGTGTTTTATTACCAAATACCAGCCTGTCTTCCTGCCAGTGGAAACCAACTGGTTGTTGGATGAAAGGACAATCAAGACGTTTTTAGGGGTCATGAAGATGAAGATTTTCTCAGATCAGATCATTAATCTCAGTCTCAATCTCGTAGAAGACTTGTTTGTAATTTATAAAGAGACCCGTAAGAGAATATATCACAGTTCTAGATCGCGATCTATACATGCTGAAAAACAAAAGATGGTGACACAGCGACTCCTGTTCATCTGACACGGATTGACATGGTTCTACCCCACTTGGGTTTGGACCGTCATATCATACTGTAGATGCCATTACTGCACGTATGTAGTTTAAGAAGGAATAATCGCGAACACACGGATGAAACGTCAAATTAACCCGCTACCATGTGACTTATCGGCTTTGAAGTTACGCTACCAAGGAACGACTCGTCTGGAATTCCGGTTCCTCATTCACTCGAAGAGGCAAAGATTCTGCCCTTCTGCTAATAATTAGTGATAATTGTGTAAACCCAGCCATAATTTATTTATCCACCCTCCGTGAGAAGGAATACTATCAAAGTCAAGAGTGGGCACTGGGGACATGAAGAGAATCGTATGAATATTTCTGGTAAATTACAAAGCAACTCATCATATGATTTTGTTTTACGATACAATTCGACATCTTGAAATTCGCTAAGTCAAACATAGACGTGTGTGTGTAAAGATTGAGTTTGGAAAAGAACCAAAGAGAGTAAAGTGGTGAAACTGAGTTCGAGCGCGTCTGTATAGGAAATAAGAATGACTCGACGAGCGGATAGTCTTGTAACGCAGGTAGGGGATATTTAGCGAGCTCGTAAGAATTGGAATAAAGCAATATAAGTAGGAGCGTGTTTCGGGTACAGAAGAGAGGAAGAAAGTCGACAAGCAGGGCATCTCAGGGGTTGAATAATCGTAGGCAAACTTGGCGACCACAGCTATAGCAAAACCAATTATATAACATTCGGAACGAGGGGACAAACGCAAAGGGTACTGCCATATTCGAAAACAGATTCCCCTAGTATATTCCCAGATTGTTTCCCGACCTAATCTGAAACGCCCTAATCTATGTTGCGATTAGCTGCAGATCTTCCATTGCCAAAAGTAGATTACCGTTTTTATAACGAAAGAATGACGTAATATTACTGTATTTTACGGCAAGCTCAAGGACACTGGGAAAGAGGGGTAAGGCGGTTTGCACATGCTTCTTGCCTTTCAGTTCGTAGGCGTTCATTCACCCATCTTCTTGACAGTCAACTAATATGGTTCGCGCATCATGGAACCAAGATTACCTCTAGTGTGTACAATACAAGTTCCATTCCGCGTCATAATTGAATTTATGTGAGTTTTACAATTGCTAGTCCTATATCATTCTTGATATTGTTTGGCAAAACAGAAGTAAGCAACCAGAGCCTAGAACTAGCAGCCTGGAGTACTGCAGGGTTCCAGAGGCTTTCTAGATAAGGCGTAAGTTGCTGAAGCCACCAAATGCTTTTTGGTTCATGATGTCGTTGATTTGCCGTGCCCAATCGTTCATTAGATATTTCAGGCAATCGCGTATTATGTTAGCAAGAACATCGTCACCTCCGATCCGCTAGTCACTGCATGACCTAGACCCTGTGCCGTGGCGCAGATTCCTTGACCTATTTATGCTACTCGACGAAACGTTGACAATTGCTTTCACAGCCATGCTCTATGCCTTTGAGCATCCCATGTCTTGAGCGACCGAATATACGGACGAATTAAGCAATGAATTAACAGTCTAGAACCCATTCGATGTTCCGTCGCTACCCAAAGCGCCGGACTGATTGAGATGTTTTACTTCCCTTCAAGAACTAATGAATTCGCCATTGACGTCAAGACTATTGCACAGCGCCATATATAACCATAGCCTATCGATGTGAAAACTGGTGAAGATATTGACTGTTAGTCAACGTGGCTGAAAAATCTTTTCCACGAAGCAAAAACAAAAAAAGATAGGTCGCACCAAAAGAATACAACCCGATCCGAATATGTATCGGTCAACACCGACGCCGACACAATCATTTCCCTCCGGAATCATTTCACTTCATGTTCCTCAGAACAGTGTAGTCGAGTGAGTTCTCCCTGAATAATCCCGAAGATACCAACCTAAAGACATTCTTCAAACGTTTGTTATACATAGTATTGTATTCATACATGGCCTCACCGGAGATCGTGAGAATACGTGGAGAGCGGCGAATTCAAGTGATCCATGGCCGAAGACCTTGCTCTCACCCATAATCCCCAATGCTCGAATCCTTGCTTTTGGATATGATGCCTATGTAACTGACTGGAAAACCATGTTGTCTCAAAACAAGCTAGGCTGTCACTCCTGGAACCTGCTGACTAGCCTTGCAACTCATAGGGAGGCTGATAACACTGTGAGCTCCAATGGATGGGATTGATTGGAATCTTGCTGATTGAAGCAGAATGACCGCCCTATAATATTTGTCTGCCATAGCCTGGGAGGTCTTGTTTGTGAATACGTGTGTTATCCACAAAGAAATAACCGAGATACGAGATTTGACGATTACAGGCATTGACTATTTCTGCACGACGTTCTGATGAGCATCTCAAGAGAATATCAAATTACACTCGAGGTATCGCGTTCCTGGGTACACCACATCATGCGTCGGGTCTCGTTCAATGGGCGGAAAAGCTCGCGTATGTTGTTGGGGTGCTCAAACAAGTTAATAAGGATATCTTGAAAGTGCTTAGAGATGACTCCGAGGTGCTCGCTATGATCCAAGACACTTTCCATCATCTGGTCCAGACAAGAGTCCAAAATGGGCTTCCGCCGATTGCTATTACTTGCTTTTTTGAGGAATTACCATTAAGGGTTGTGGGAGTTGTGAGTATCCTTTGCTCCATTACAGTACATGCCTAATACTGGTTAGGTTGTTCCATCTCATTCCGCTATCCTGCCTGGGTACATACCAATAGGAATACATGAGGATCACATAGGCATGACGAAATTCGATAGTCACACGAACACTGGTTTCACGGCTGTTGCTGGTGAGCTTCTTCGATGGATGAGGGAATCTTCCTAGGTCAGAATTTTAGGATGGCTGGACTTCAAAGAACACGAGCATGGATTGGCTCTTGACCTTGGAGCATTCCTTGCGAGGCATGACCTTCTCTCTGGATCCTTAACGGGTGAAGAAGTTCCTGGAATCAACAACGCACGACGTAATCTAATCAATTGCATAAATCGGACTTTTCGCCTGTACTTTACTTTCGTGCCGGAAATAATGATTGGCAACAACTAGACACATGAAATGGGTGAAGAAGTCCTGAACGAAATGAGCTACAGATATGGCCAGTCCTATGTTGCGTGTTTCCTCATCGGCTTCTGCAAACTACTATCTCGGCATATTTCAAAACACAAGGCCAGTTGCCTGTGATGACTTGCTTGGACTAGCTCGAAATAGGATTAACTTACTAGATCTGAAGTGCGAGCAGTTGGAAGTACTGTACTTTCCCGTCCGCTACTCGAAAAAATGTTGAGAACCGAATGCGACGGCGTCTCTATTCGGCGAGTTCTGCAGGATGATTAGTTGACTTTAGCGCCTGGAAATTGGAACAAACAATTTTGATAACCTTGTCTCCACTGGGGTGCTCTTTTTTTCTGCCATATCACTTATTGAATTTTACGATTCCAGTACCACACACTCATTACTCATTCTTCAAATCGGTTCGACCAACACACATGATAATTATTTTTTGGACCGGCGGCGCAGATCAGCCATTGAGCGGGCCGCATTTAACCGAGGGACACCGTAAACTGCACCTTGTACGATACATTACTAGATACTGTACGTAATACTGTACAGGACCGCATTAGTTCACTATCTATCTATCTTATGAATTTGGCGGAAGTATACTATGTTTAGACTAGTGTGTTAGAGGATAGGGTTCGGGAAACAATCTGAGAGTTTGAGGGAACCTGGTTTCGAATATAGCAGTATTCAAACGGGAGACAACGTACTAAGAGGAAATGATAGTGGTGATAAACGGCACAGCGTTGCAATAAACCGAGGGACAGCAAGCAGATGACGAAGCAATTATAGCAGCTTAACGTGCAGAAACATGCAGACAGAAACCCTAGAACCCTAAGCCAAGACGATCTAATCCAAGAAAGCGCTGATAATGCAGGTACCGGTGGACAGCAGAGCGAATGACGAACGTGCGTGGCAGAATAGTCCATACGTTTTTTAAGTCACCTCTTTTTGCAACGTCTCGCGCACACGTACATCCACGTTGACTATTCCCTTTCCCTCACTTCGTTCGTTTCAGGGCACAATCTGAAAATAGCTTTTGTATTAAGCCTGTAATGTTTCAGAGTTTCCAGACGCTCATTCTGCAAATAAGCCAAAAGGATGAGTGAGCCAATACTACCGGATGGGTCACCACACTAGCCGCCCCTCCTCGCCCCTCTTTTTCCACATCGATGAACACTCTGGCCAAGCCAATATTTACTTTGATAAGGTAGCAGTTGGTTAAAGGTTCTTTGCTGATATCATACCAGTCGGCAATGCATGCGCTTTCTCACTGTCCTTGATGTTGACCGATGTTAAGCCTCGTATGGCGTCTACTTTTTATCTTTAAAGGTCTTCGGATTTCTGATAGGCTGGGAAAAATTGACACATGCCGGCCTTTCGTGGAGCAACAAATTGCACATGTTGAGTGTATTGAAGGCCTGGTATAGTCGTTCTCGAAATCGGCTTGACAGATACACTCTTCGTCATTCTTTTCTGGCCCCACCGTCAAGGCCTTAGCGCAGATCAATTATTTAGCGGGCCGCATCAAATTGATGGACGTCGAAAAAGGCATCCCGTATGATACTGTATTCGGGTATGTAAATTACGCGGCGCTTACGGGGAAAATGTGATTCCGTGAAACTCTATAGTGGGGCTCTGTAGATTAAGTGGCAGGTTGCCTAGCAACTGGTCCCCGGACTTTGTGCTAAGTGACTTCAGAACATCTTCTCAACCTATACAGCACGGATTGATCCTCTTTATCGAACATCCTTGAGAGGTACCTCTTACGCTATTGTTTCGACCGGTGTTCCATTGTTTGCGGGCGAACATGTGAAGGGTCGAAGCAAGTCTTGGTTCAAACTAGCTAAGCCGTCATGCTGTCTATCAAAAGCTTAAGGAAAGGACAATCTACGTGGTCGTGCAGCGGTGTAAACATGCCTAGTCACGTGGTCAGCACGTGATGTATACGGGCCCTGGCCCGTTACAGTACCCCCCTCGTCCCCTCCGCCGTCTATTAAGAGTGAGTTAACGTGTGTTAAGTCGAAAATTAGTCTGTCGTGTGTCGAAACGTCACCGAATCGCTCTTAAAACACTTCTAATACGGAGTAGTCTTATAAGTTCTCCACGGGTTCCTATGTCAATTCCGCGTAACCGAGCTACTTCACTAACACTTCGCGACGCCGTCCTCTACCAATCTTCTTTATCTATGCTACTATAACTTCCTCGACCTAGTATTCGAGTTCGTTACCGACTTATAGTAGTGGCGGCTACGATCGTCTACGAACTAAGAGCGTAGCGGATCCGTCGCGGCTAGCCTAACGAGTTTAATATAGAAGACTAGATATATACCGGATAGGATATCGAGCTTTACTATATATAGTGTAGGGGCTTCTAGCACTATATAGCGCGTATATAACTAGTCGAGCTTCTTCGATAGTCTCTACGAACGGACGTTCCGGAGGTTTAACTATACTTTATCGCCCGTACGGTAGACTAGTGCGGCTTACCTTATCCGGTTCGACTAGTTCTATTACTTTTCTTACGCGTTTACGATTGCCGCCCGTGCCTATTCGGTAGCGTCTCGTAGGCGGTTCACAAACTTTTCGCTAGCGTTTTCCGGTCTACTCGCTACTTCTTATAGGTTTCCTTAGTTAAGTAATCTAATCGGTTTAATATAGTAGCCGTGTGTAAAGAAGAAGGGTAATAGTCCTATCGATACTACTTCTCGGTTATTTATCGCTCCCGTAACAATAGGTAAAAGACCTTTCTAGTCTATTTAAGCGTAAGACGCGAATATTCGTAGGATTCGTTCGACTTCTTAGTTCGCTCGCTCTATAGAACCGTCTAATTAAGGGTAAAAGGCTATAGATAATCGGTATTAAATCTCTAGCGTTTTATATACGCGTTACTAAAACCTACTTACGAATTATAAGCCTCGATCACTTATAATAGCTACTAGTAATCTATAATATATATAAAAATATATTAGGAATACGTCCGCTAGGGCGTCTACCGTAATCGACTTTATAGCCACGGTAATAACACTCTTAGTAAGTCTATCCGTGGCTACTAGGCAATTCGTAGCTCCTTCGTACCCTAAAGGTGGTAGGTTAGTAATAAAGTCTATTAAGATTTCAGCCTATATTCGGTTAGGTATCGGAATGTCAGGACCCCGACCTGACAGGTGCCTGAGGGTGCCTGAAAAGTATACTGCGAGCCTTTAGGCTGCGTAGTATACTAATAGATAGGCGCATGCATGGACCATGAAGGTCGTGCACTTCGCTTAGTCCCTTAGCTAAGCGCACCTTATATTTATTGCACTCGCTAGCCTTCGTATAAAGGGTAGCAATTAGTCTCTTATTACACCTATATATACACTTCTTCGATAGTCTCTACTTCCCGTACTTATACTGCTACACTAGGACCTTGTAGGGTCTTAACAATTCTAATTACTCTACCTAGTGAGTACGCCCGGTAGAGCTATTAACCCCTTTTCACTATTATATCGAGCCCCCACTAAACCTAGTCGCGTTTATAGCAATAAACTACCGATACTACGACCTAACCTTAACCTATACCTACGCCCCCGTCTAAGCCCTCCCTCGATAAGTTTAGGGACCGGATTACGTAGGTAGAAGAGGCATTAGCCTAACGTGAACTCGAATCTCGCCTAGATACGTTGACTAACCCTCGCACCCGAGCGACCGAAGTGACCGACACGCCCCTAGGGACTATTTAGGCCCTACGCCTTTAGCCACCTTAGGCGGATACGAAGATTAAGCTATTCGTAGGGTCGAATACCTAAGAATACTATATATTCGTGAATCGACTTAAGAGTCATTTCGAATAACACCCCTAGTGGTACGCCTTTATATCTAATAAGGTGACTACTACGGCCACGTACCTATTAGACGATCGCTATAACTAATAGCGAGCGTACCTATAGTCCTTCTCGGAACGACCTACCTAGTAGGATTTCACCGAATTCTACTTACGGCTTATTAATAACCCTAAGAATATATACCGTGAAGCTACCCTTACGTATATACGACGGACCTAGAGGCATAATTAGTCTATACGTACGTTTGTAACTAAGCTAGACACTATTCACCGGTAGCTATAATACCCTTATAAAGATAAGTATCGTAAGGAGTATCTCTAGGCTAAGGTCCTAGATATTATTCGCACCGAAGCTATTAAATACCCTAATAAGCCTAATATTTACGAGGCTTATATCGGCCACCTTTATATAGTCGAGAACTAGCTTCTAGAAAGGCGGAAGCTACTTCACACTTAATCTAATATAGTGCGGTTAGATTAAGAAGCGAGTATACCCCTTTAGTCCCGTATTATACGTAACCTAAAGACCTATTTGTACTAAAAAGATTATAAAAAATAAAGCGTTAGCGACTCAAACTAGGAGCCTCGCTATAGCGTATCTAAGAGAAAATTTATATAACCCCCTATATAATTAGGGGCTATTTCCTACTATTAATATAGGAAAGTAGGCTATTATACTAGTAGCTATAATTAACTAGATCCGCGAGCTTTATAGGATAAGACCTAACTATTAAAAAACTAACTCCCCTAGTGTTTAGAGCTACTAAAGCACTAGTAGGGGTTTCTAGAAGGCAGAGCGACTAAGCCTTTATATACGAAGTCTTAATCCTTACCTAGAAGGGTAATAAGGATATATAGGCGCTAGTTAATAGCGGAGTAGAGTAAAGCTTTATTAACTAGCGCTAGGCGAAGGAGCACCTTCTAGATAGGGAAGTGACACCTTCGTAGGG